CCATCCATCCATCCATCCATCCATCCATCCATCCATCCATCCATCCATCCATCCATCCATCCATCCTCTATTTGCCATGCATCTCCTGAAGAAATGACTCTGGGCAAATTCCAATTTAATCTTTTCCTATCCCTCTGTAGGTGGTAGAGTTTGATGTTTGGAGTTTGATTTTGGGTGTTGAAGTTTAAGGGTTATGGTTTCAGAATCTGGATGACTCTCAGTCTTTCTCTGCCAGCAGGATCTCTATCACCAATCTTATGATTGTGTCTGTGTTCTCTTCGCTTCGATCCCGGACTTCAAAGAATTTTATTCTGAATCCAACGTCAACCATGAGGGACTTGAATGCCTCCGACTGCTCAACGAGATCATTGCTGACTTTGATGAGGTAGGGGAAAATATATGTACAGTAGTTGTTGGTAGATGTGTACAATTATACCTTCTCATTCTTTCTTGTCTCTCTGTGTATATATGTGTGCATGTATACCTACATTGCTTGCACTTAAATATTATACACTTGCAGAATTTTGATACTGCTTTCCAATTATTCCCACAAGCATTCATACTTGTAAAAATTCAATAAAAAGTTTAAAAAAGTCAAAATGAAGAAAACAGATGCACCTTATTTTAGCAGAAATTCCATACAAAATGCAATAAAATATGAAAGATAATCAAAATACAGATGGAAGTATAAAGATGAGATAGATTTATGAACAAGCAAAAGAATATGGTTATTCCATTTCATCCACCAACAAAAAAATATATCTCTCAATTACATTTTTATTCCAGTTCACATAAAAACTGTTTGAACAGCTTATACTGAATAGGTTCACTCTTCCTTACACTGGCCTCTTCCTCTCGTAAGACAAAAAAAATAATCATAGAGTTATAGTAATTGTGCATAAGGAAAACCATACTTACATGTACCGTAATATAATCAAAGCCAATAGATCTTGTGACAGTTTTGTTTATTTCTAGGAAATACAATGTTTGAATGAATAAATAAATAATTCATACTCAAGCGACCAAACATCACCCAATCAAAGCCAGCAGCCAATAATTATTGAAAATACAAGTGGACCACCTTTTGGGTCATCAAATATCATAGTTATCATTTGGGAGGGACTTAGGTCCAAAAGCTGGTTGGAGTTATATCATTTGTGGGCTAGGCTGGAGTGGGATTCCACCGATTTGGACTGGTTTGGGAAAACCGGTAGCTCCAACTATCAGCTGGGAGCGAACCGGTTTGGTCTGACATTGAAGTGGGCCTGCCCGCCCACCCCTATCCTATATTTCCAGAGTGGCAGAGTGGATTGCTGCGCCTCAGCTGTTTTCCTTGGCAGCAGTAATGAGGAAGGTGAATTTTCTGTAAACTGTGCACATGTGCACAGCGAACAGGTTGTTAAACCGGTAGGATCCCACCCCTGTTTCCAACTGTTCCCTGTGCCAAAATGGTGGAAACTATGTTCCAACAGTGTTGATCAAGGGGAGTTCCGAAGATCTCAAAAACGCGGCTTTTAATTCCAGGTTAAAATAATAAGATGTAGAATAGTGATGGGATTTGAGGAATCTATAATCTGGAGAAATGTTAGTATAGTGCTAGGTTAGGAAGTAAGCATTAAATAAATCAGTTTATTTAAGTAGGGTATATTACCAGAGGTGGGATTCAGCTGGTTTGGCCTGGTTCAGCCAAACTGGTTACAATACCGGTTACAATACAATACAATGCAATAGCAGAGTTGGAAAGGACCTTGGAGGTCTTTTAGTCCAACCCCCTGCCTAGGCAGGAAACCCTATACCATTTCAGACAGATGGCTATCCAACATCTTCTTAAAGACTTGCAGTGTTGGGGCAATCACAGCTTCTGGTGGCAAGCTGTTACACTGATTAATTGTTCTAACTGTCAGGAAATGTCTCCTCAGT